AACTCATTCTTTCTCACAAAACCATGCCATAAAGTATCATGGAGACATCCAAGGTCTCTTAATTGGCACCAACTGGACCTCGTCATCACCCGACGAGCCCTCCTCAACTCGGTACTCATCACACACAGCTACCACAGTGCAGTCTGTGACACCGATCACTCGCTGGGATCCAGCACGGTCAGACTACGCCCCAAAAAAATACACGGACTCAAACAAAAGCGCTACCTACACATCAACTCTGCCAAGACATCCCTCCCAGAGCTCACTCAATTATTCCAACACAGCCTTGAGCAGTCCTTACACGACACACCAGATGGAAGCGTGGAGACAAAGTGGGCATACATCAGAGACGCCATCTTTAATGCACCCATCAATACCTTCGGCAAGCAGACAAGGGGAAACAGGCTGGTTTGAGGAACACCTGGCTATATTGGAACCCATCCTCCAAGCCAAACGCATGGCGCTCCTGAAGTACAAGCAAGTCCCAACTACAGAATCATTAAGGGCTCTGAAAGCTGCTCGCAGTGCAGCTCAAACGACCGCCAGACGCTGCGCAAACAACTACTGGGTGAATCTCAGTAGTAGGATCCAACTCGCCTCTGACACTGGCAATATCCGTGCCATGTATGAAGGCATCAAGACAGCCTTTGGTTCAAACATCAGGAGGACTGCCCCCCTTAAATTTAGCACAGGGGCCATCATCACTGATAAACAAGAGCAAATGGCCAGGTGGGTAGAACACTACTCAGAGCTCTACTCACGAGACAACGGTGTGTCAGAAGCTGCCCTTGCTGCTGTAAAGCCCCTACCAACGATACACGAACTGGACAATGTTCCAACCTTGAAGGAACTTGACAACGCCATCAACTCACTAGCCAACGGCAAGTCACCGGGACAGGACGGCATCACACCTGAGGTACTGAAATGTGCAAAAGCCGCTGTCCTCACAAAACTCCATGAACTTCTCTACCAGTGCTGGGAAGAAGGAGCAGTGCCTCAAGACATGAGAGACTCCAACATCATCACCCTATATAAAAACAAGGGTGACCGTGGGGACTACAATAACTACCGCGGCATCTCCCTGCTGAGCATTGTGGGGAAAACCTTTGCCCGTGTGGCCCTCAGCAGGTTACAGATACTAGCTGAGAGAACGTATCCTGAGGCTCAGTGTGGCTTCAGAGCAGGAAGGTCTACAATTGACATGCTCTTCTCCTTGCGTCAGCTACAGGAGAAATGTCGAGAACAGAGAATGCCCCTGTACTTGGCATTCATTGATCTTACAAAAGCCTTTGACCTCATCAGTAGGGGATGCCTTTTCAAACTCCTCAAAGTGATCGGCTGTCCACCGAAGCTGCTGGCAGTCATCTCCTCTTTCCATGACAACATGAAAGGAACAATACAGCACAGCGGCACCACCTCAGAGGAATTCCCCATACTCAGCGGTGTAAAGCAGGGGTGCGTGCTTGCCCCAACACTATTTGGCATCTTTTTCTCACTTAAGCTCACACATGCCTTTGGGACAGCAGAAGAGGGAGTCTTTCTTCATACAAGATCTGATGGCAAACTCTTCAACCTTGGCCGTCTCAGATCCAAAACCAAAGTCCTCATCAGAGAACTCCTATTCGCTGATGATGCTGCGCTGACAGCTCACACAGAACAAGGTTTGCAGACACTCATCGACCACCTTGCCAATGCCTGCAACAACTTTGGCCTGACAATCAGTCTGAAAAAGACCAATGTCATGGGCCAGGATGTCAGAGACACCCCTTCCATAAACATTGGCAGCCACACCCTGGAAGTCGTTCAGGACTTCACCTACTTGGGTTCTACCATCACCTACAATTTGTCCCTTGTCACAGAGATTGACAAGCGCATTGGGAAGGCGTCAACAGCTATGTTCAGGTTGACTAAAAGAGTGTGGGAGAACAAATCCCTAACGCTCAACACCAAAGTACAAGTGTACCGGGCCTGCGTCCTTAGCACCCTCTTCTATGGGTCTGAGTCCTGGACAACATACGCCCATCAAGAACATCGACTAAATACATTCCACCTCCGATGTCTCAGGCGCATCCTCGATATCAGATAGCAAGATCGCATTCCCAACACCTCAGTTCTCAACTTGGCCAACATTCCCAGCATGTACTCTCTACTCAGTCATAGGCGCCTGAGATGGCTTGGACACGTGCGCCACATGCAGGATGGCAGAATACCCAAGGATATTTTCTACGACGAGCTGGCATCAGGCACACGGGTCACTGGTCGCCCGGTCCTGCGCTTCAAAGATGTCTGTAAACGGAACATGACGAGCTGCGACATCAACTCAAATGACTGGGAGAAAACAGCCGGCGACCGACTCAGCTGGCAGCAGGCTGTAAAAACAGGCCTCAGGAGAGGCGAGGAGAAAAGACACACTGCTTGGCCGACCAAGAGGGAGCGACGTAAAGAAAAAGCAACAAACACCTCTGGAGCTGCCACCGCATTCACTTCAAATTGCTGTGGCAAGGATTGTCACTCGAGGATTGGCCTACTAAGTCATTCTAGGTGCTGCAAAACCTACAGCTGACCTCGTAAGGCGCAAAAAATAATTGTCTCTCGAGACACAAAGGCCTATGCATGTAAGGTCTAGAGACTGGCTAGGCCACCCCAGGACCTTAATGTGCTTCTTCTTGAGCCACTCCTTTGTTGCCTTGGGCGTGTGTTTTGGGTCATTGTCATGCTGGAATACCCATCCACGACCCATTTTCAATGCCCTGGCTGAGGGAAGGAGGTTCTCACCCAAGATTTGACGGTATATGGCCCCATCCATCGTCCCTTTGATGCGGTGAAGTTGTCCTGTCCCCTTAGCAGAAAAACACCCCCAAAGCATAATGTTTCCACCTCCATGTTTGACGGTGGGGATGGTAAATTTCGATTTAAAGCTTTCGTGACTGCAATGATTCATCTTCTTTGGTTCTTTCGGTAAAGTCACGTAGAATGAGAATAAAATAATAAATTGATAAAATAAAATAACACAATAATATTCTCACGACGTTTCGGCCACAACACAAGCGGCCTTCATCAGGTGAAGGGAGCGAGACTGTCTGGTAGGACAGCGCTGTCCTACCAGACAGTCTCGCTCCCTTCACCTGATGAAGGCCGCTTGTGTTGTGGCCGAAACGTCGTGAGAATATTATTGTGTTATTTTATTTTATCAATTTATTATTTTATTCTCATTCTACGTGACTTTACCGAAAGAACCAAAGAAGGTGGGGATGGTGTTGTTGGGGTCATAGGCAGCATTCCTCCTCCTCCAAACACGGCGAGTTGAGTTGATGCCAAAGAGCTCCATTTTGGTCTCATCTGACCACAACACTTTCACCCAGTTGTCCTCTGAATCATTCAGATGTTCATTGGCAAACTTCAGACGGGCATGTATATGTGCTTTCTTGAGCAGGGAGACCTTGCGGGCGCAGCAGGATATCAGTCCTTCACGGCGTAGTGTGTTACCAATTGTTTTCTTGGTGACTATGGTCCCAGCTGCCTTTAGATCATTGACAAGATCCTCCCGTGTAGTTCTGGGCTGATTCCTCACCGTTCTCATGATCATTGCAACTCCACGAGGTGAGATCTTGCATGGAGCCCCAGGCCGAAGGAGACTGACAGTTATTTTGTGTTTCTTCCATTTGCGAATAATTGCACCAACTGTTGTCACCTTCTCACCAAGCTGCTTAGCAATGGTCTTGTAGCCCATTCCAGCCTTGTGTAGGTCTACAATCTTGTCCTTGACATCATTGGAGAGCTCTTTGGTCTTGGCTATGGTGGAGAGTTTGGTATCTGATTGATTGCTTCTGTGGACAGGTGTCTTTTATACAGGTAACAATCTGAGATTAGGAGCACTCCCTTTAAGAGTGTGCTACTAATCTAAGCTCTATGAGTGTGCTCCTAATCTCGGCTCGTTACCTGTATAAAAGACACCTGGGAGCCAGAAATCTGTCTGATTGAGAGGTGGTCAAATACTTATTTCCCTCATTAAAATGCAAATCAATTTATAACATTTTTGACATGCGTTTTTCCGGATTTTTTTGGTTGTTATTCTGTCTCTCACTGTTCAAATAAACCCACCATTAAAATTATAGACTGATCATTTCTTTGTCAGTGGGCAAACGTACAAAATCAGCAGGGGATCAAATACTTTTTTCCCTCACTGTATATTCAGATGCAATGTCCGCCACTCCTCGGCAGTGGTTTGACTCTGAAAGGGCTTTGCGTTATTCGGCGCCGTTGTTCCCAGCGCACGTGTTGCGGGATACACTTCGGACGTGCAGCGCAGCGCTGGCGTCCGTGCTCAGTGGAATTTTCCATACGCTGCTGTTGGGCAGTGCCAATGAGCGATGTGCCGTAGTGCCGGAGCACCGGCACCAACGATAACGCAGTCCCGCACCTGGCAGACCTCGAGCCAGCACTGCCATTGCCTGAACCCGGAGCCTCCTCGACGTCGAGAGGGGCCGGGGTGCAGTGTGGGCCTTAGAGACGCACACGAGGGGACGTGGGGAGACAGACGCAGACAGACGCGGCGAGGGACGCGCGCGCAGAGACACGGAGGCATGAAGAGTGGCAGACACCGACAATGATCTTGAGATGTAGAGACACACAGGGACGTGGAGACACGAGCGGAGACGTGGAGACGTGCAGTCAGAAAACCAGAGCAGGTGCAGACACCGAGATTGAGATAGGAAGATAAAGACACGGAGACACACAGAGACACCCAGATATAGAGACACACAGACTCATGGAGACATGCGGAGAGACAGACACGCAGTCATAAATATCAGACGAGGTGCAGAGATAGACACGTGGGCACACAGACATAAAGAAGACTATGTAACACAATTTTTGTTACTGAGTAGTTAGTGTTATTTCGTAATTGCTTATGACTAAAAGTATAGAAAATGGTTATTATTCCCCACAAACTTTGCTTTTGTGACCAGGACAGTGATATTTAGAAATGTACTTATTTTCAATGAGAAAACAGGCGAATTTGTGTCTGCATTTTTACCCTTTACATCGCTCTACTCTACTAACACGGGTCACGCACAACAACAACACAAACGAGAGAAGAAGAGAACTCGAATGAGCCGTGGCGCGGTACTGAATCCCAGTGGGCGATGGGACGGGTGGGATAGAGAGAGGGGTGGGTGGTGTTGTTGCTGCGTGTGCGCCACTGCCAGCGCAGTGCCCCTGTGTGCCGTGCGTCTCACGCAGTCCGTGCCCTGCTGCCCTCGTCTTGCAGAGCCCTCGGACGAAGAGATCGTGAACAAGTGCGGCTTTTCTCTCCAGGCGATCCACGGTGAGTACCGGCCTATTGAGAGTGAGTACCAGCTCCTGTGAGTACCGGCTCCTGTGAGTACCGCCTCTTCAGAGTGATTTTTCAGTTTATTTATTTGGTATAGCCCTGTGAGCCATTCGGCTCTTGAATCGGGTGCAACCACAACAAAAAAAACACGAACAAGAAAACATCTTAAAGTGACTATGTGACTGTGCAAACAGAAAATCCATGAAAAAAACAGCAAAATATTCCTGAAAAAGCACCGTACACCAACGCTGTGTGCAAAAAATCCCAGTGGGATGCAAGTCAAACAACAACAACAACCACAAGAAAACTTCAATTAAGGCCATCAGTCTAACTCCGTACTACAACAAAACAAACATGTCCAAACCAAAAAACTTTTCGAAATCACCAAAAAATAAAGCCATAATTGCAATGTAACAGTGATCATAGGGACTGTGACCGAATTTTTAACAATAAACTACATAAATAACATGTAACACCAAACCCTAGAGTCATAGCTGGCTGCATGAGTTACTCCACAACAACAGAAGCATCGGTCGGAGTATCAGATTTTTCAATGCACCTTTAAGATCAGCACGCTCAATCAAAATACAGATAATACTTTGCAGCGTTATCCGGAGCGAAACATTTGATTTGATTTTATGCCAATGAATACCAGTGGCAGCTAGGGGTGTACAACTTCTCTAGAGCAGTTTTGAGAGAAGATCTCATTGGTAGCGATTCAAGTTGCACTTTATTGGGAATAGCATTCCAGACCCTGGGGGCATCAATAGCAAAGGCCCTTCCTCCAGTTTTTGTACGGCAATAGGGAATGTGAAGCTGGTAAATGAGCGAAGGCCTGAGGTCAAATTTGTTCTTTGAAACAGAGAGGAGATCCAGCAGGTAGTCTGCGGATTTTTTTGGAAGTACATCGTGAATAATAAGATCTGGTGCACAAGCCGTCGAACATTAAGAGATGTTAAGTTTGACCCAATGTAGAGATCACAGTGGTGAGTCCTATATGGGCAGTTCAATGTAAATCTTAAGGCCGAGTGATAGATGGAATCAAGCTTCTTCAGTACAGTACTTGGGGCTGATTTATACACGATGTCACAGTAATCAAGTAGAGGCAGTATGGTAGCTTTTATCAATTCCAAACGGAGCATTGGGGGGAAGCAGTGCTTGTGTCGATACAGAAAACCAATTTTTATTTTTGTCTTTTTACCAATATAATCAATGTGATCTTCAAAATTCAGTTTTTAATCCAGGATGACCCCAATAAACTTATAGATCTTGACTTGCTCTATTTGATCATTATTTAAGGAATGTAGTTGGGGAAAATAACTTCCTGCTTTAGTCCTGGTGAGAAGCATAGCACCTTGGTTTTGGAGGTATTCAGGACTAGTTTAAGAGCAACTAGCTGATGTTGTAGTTTGTTGAAATCACCCTGGAGCTTAGCAATCACGTCATCTGGAGAGCGGCCAGCAGTAATCAGTATCATATCATCTGCAAAAGATTTACCCTAGAATGATCCAGGTCAGTGCCCAAGTCATTGACATAAAGAGAGATCAAAAGGGGGCTGAGGATGGAACCCTGTCGAACCCCTTTTGTTATCTTAACACTGTTTGACCTCCAACCATCTGTGAATACAGTTGGGGTGTGAGAAAAGAGGTAATTTTGTAACCATTTTACTTAGTTTTCGGAAAAACCGAGGCAACTTAGTTTACAAAGCAGGGTGTTGTGGTCTACTGTATCAAAAGCTTTGGACAGGTTAAGAAAAAGACAGGCACAGTACTGATTATTATCAAGGCTACTGTAATTGTGATTAAGAGATGCTAATGCAGCAGATGTGGTGCTGTATTTTTTCAGAACCCAGATTTTTTAGATGTAGTAGATTGTTGGTGGACAGGAAACTGCTAATTTGGTAGTTCAATAATTTTTCAAAAATTTTCATCAACAGGGTTAGTTATTTGGATCATCTTTAGGGCCTCCTTTGTGAAGTAGATGGACTTAAGAATGTTTCCATTCTAGAGGAACTGATGCTTCTTTGATGGACAGGTTGAAAATATGGGCTATAGGTTTGTATATTAGGTGACCAACAGTTAATAGAGCAAAGACGGGAATACTATCTGCTCCGGTAGAGGAGGACCCTTTGAGGTAGGACAGTTGTTTCAGAACATTACTTTCGTGGTTTGGCTGGAAACTAAATTCGTTTAATGTTTGGACAGGGGTGTAGGAATTTGCATGAGCAGGGGTGACTACCTTTAGAGCCTCGGTCAAGCCGAAAAAGGTTGTAGTTGTCAATCGTAATCTGCAAGTCATTGACGGCAGGAGTGAGAAATGTTTCTGTTAGGCAAAAAATGTCCGAGTCAAGATTTTCCACTTCTAGTTTTAGTTGACTTAATTTAATCACAAGTCCTCTGATGTTGATATGTAGAACACCAACACCTTTCCTTCCAGAAAAATATACAGAATTATACGAGTTCTTTACATTTGGGCCAGGATGAAACTCAATACCACCCAGAAATAAGAAAAGTAGAATTAATAGTTTGCACAAGTATTTTCTGTGAAAGGATGAAGAGCGGCGAACCTTGGACGAATAGCAGTAGCTTGCAGATGGTGTTATTTTTAAGAGCAGAATGAAGTTTGGAAGGAGTGCTGGTGAAGTAATGGGACAAAGATAGGGTTTAAAAGGATAGAATGATGGAGTGTAGAAGTGTCTATAAGCTGTTTCAGTTGCTGGTTTAGTGGCAAATCGAGCAACAAGTATGGACGCAAAGTAACGAGGGTAACTGTTTGTAGAGTTGAGTGTGGCACTAGATATGGCCGAGAGGGACAGCAGTAGGATACAAAGCAAGAGAATTGCCATCTCTAAAATATCCGGGGTACACACAGATTAACACACAAGCGGAAAATAAAAAATATATATATACTTGTAGGCCGAGCACGAGAAAACGTCTTGCCGCACTCATCACACATGCATGGCTTCTCGCCCATGTGCTAGGATTGAACAGTCCCCCCCCCCCCCCTCAGACAGGGACAGCAGATTCTTGGCTGTAGTGTGCTCGGCTGAACCGCTTGCACCGCCTCCTTTCCCCGCCGCAGGATGGTGCTCGAGCTAGCCCTCCTTGAGCTCAGCCCACTACTGGAATGTCGTTTCTTAGCCCCTCGTGTCTCTGCTGTCCGACCAGACGGCCCCACTGAAGCCCACACAGGGGACTCTTCATTTACGACACTTGGCCGTCTTGACGATCTCTGTGAATTTTTCCAGGATGGAGCACCTTGACAGGAACACAGCTTGGGGTCCGTCGCAATGTTGCCTTGGCAGGAACACAGCTTGGGGTCCGTGGCAATGTTGCCTTTGCAGGAACACAGCTTGGGGTCCGTCGCAATATTGCCTTGGCAGGAACACAGCTTGGGGTCCGTGGCAATGTTGCCTTGGCAGGAACACAGCTTGGGGTCCGTGGCAATGTTGCGTTGGCAGGAACACAGCTTGGGGTCCGTGGCAATGTTGGCCTGACAGGAACACAGCTTGGGGTCCGTGGCAATGTTGCCTTGGCAGGAACACAGCTTGGGGTCCGTCGCAATGTTGTCTTGGCAGTAACACAACTTGGGGTCTGTGGCAATGTTGCCTTGGCAGGAACACAGCTTGGGGTCCGTGGCAATGTTGCCTTGGCAGGAACACAGCTTGGGGTCCGACGCAATGTTGTCTTGGCAGTAACACAGCTTGGGATCCGTGGCAATGTTGCTTTGGCAGGAACACAGCTTGGGGTCCGTGGCAATGTTGCCTTGCACGATTAACTAGGCCTCACTCAGGCTGCGCCAGGTGCACGATTTACTAGGTCTCACTCAGGCTGTGTCATGTGCAGTATTACCTAGGCCTCACTCAGGCTGCGCAAGGTGCATAATTGACTAGGCCTCACGCTGCTCCAGGTGCACGATTAGCTAGGCTTCACTCAGGCTGCGCCAGGTACATGATTTAGCTAGGCCTCACTCAGGCTGCGCCATGTGCACTATTAACTAGGCCTCACTCAGGCTGCGCCAGGTGCATGATTAACTTGGCCTTATGCTGCTCCAGGTGCATGATTTAGCTAGGCCTCACTCAGGCTGCGCCATGTGCACGATTAGCTAGGCCTCACTGAGGCTGCGCCAGGTTCATGATTTAGCTAGGCCTCACTCAGGCTGCACCATGTGCACGATTAACTATGCCTCACTTAGGCTGCACCAGGTGCACGATTAACTATGCCTCACTCAGGCTGCGCCAGGTGCACGATTTACTAGGCCTCACTCAGGCTGTGTCATGTGCAGTATTACCTAGGCCTAACTCAGGCTGCGCCAGGTGTCATGTGCAGTATTACCTAGGCCTAACTCAGGCTGCGCCAGGTGCATGATTTAGCTAGGCCTCACTCAGGCTACGCCATGTGCACGATTAGCTAGGCCTCACTCAGGCTGCACTAGGTGCATGATTTGGCTAGGCCTCACTCAGGCTGCGCCAAGTGCACGATTAGCTAGGCCTCACTCAGGCTGCGCCAGGTGCATGATTTAGCTAGGCCTTACTCAGGCTGTGGCATGTGCACGATTAACTATGCCTCACTTAGGCTACACCAGGTGCACGATTAACTATGCCTCGCTCAGGCTACCAGGTGCACGATTAACTAGGCCTCACTCAGGCTGTGCCACGTGCGCGATTAACTAGGCCTCACTCAGGCTGCGCCCGGTACACACACGAGTGTACATCACTACACTATCACACACACACACAGAGTGTACATCACTACACTATCACACGCACACGAGTGTACATCACTGTTTGAACGCAGAAGTCCCTCTCGTCACGGCCATGAAGCTATGAAGCTGCTGAACTACATTTGCTGGGGGTGGCCTCCAAAATAAAATCCAGAATAGGCGACGTTTCGGGCAATGGCCCTTACAACACACAAGCATTAAAATCATGTCTCACTCTCACACGGCTCACACGGCTCACCCTCACACGGCTCACTCAAACACACTCACACACG